GTGGATAGTAGTAGTAGTAGTAGTAGTAGTAGTAGTAGTAGTAGTAAGTAGTAGTAGTAGTAGTAGTAGTAGTAGTAGTAGGAGTGCTAGTACTGGTACTGCTACCTCTAGCGCTACGGCCAACGCCACCGCTACGGTTACAGCCATTGCTGCTGCTGCCTATTGCTACTGCTGCTACAGCGGATCCTGCTTCTGCTGCCACTGCTGCTGCTGCTGCTGCTGCTGCTGCTGCTGCTGCTGCTGCTGCTGCTGCTGCTGCTGCTGCTAATACGACTAGTTTTACTGCCGTGATCTTTGTCTATGGGCTCCTCGACAGTCTTGCTGCTGCTCGGCAAGAGCAGGAATAGCAGCTTGACATCGCCAGTACCGTCGTACTTCACAGAACAATACTCAGCATCGTTGCTTGTAAGTTATGTAAGTTTGCTTCATTGCTTGTCAGCCGTTGTCTTCGTTGACTTCGTCATCGCTGTTTTCGTCCGCATCTTGCGTCCTCTTTCCGGAATTTTCATGGTTGTTGCCACCGGCTTTGGCATCAACACCGACATTGTATGTTCAGACATCATATGTCACATGGTGTCATTTATCATCATCTTGTTACAGTCATCCCTCTTCAGGCAAGGCGGACAAGACGCACATAGCTCACCCTCGTTTGTGTTGAACATTACGTATTCATTGCAGTGTTTTCGCTGTGATGACCATCTCAGCCGCTAATCCGCCTTTCATCAATCGAACTGCTGCGCTTCATAGATCACGTTGGATGTAGGCTGTCCATTTTTCATCCCTCGAGCTGCAAGCAATGCTTCAAGACTGAGAGACTCCAAGACTGCCCTGCAGGACTGCGGTTCTTGCTAAGGAAGTGGAGCTGCTGCAGAAAGCTTTTCAATCCCAGGTCGCCTCAATTGGCATTACAAGTATCCCAAAACCGTGCTGCGGTAGCGCTTCCTTTTTCCAGCTTCTACCGCAGCGACCGCAGCCACAAGCCTTCCAGTTTGAGAAACCGCGGCTGTGAACGGACAAAAGCACGACCTTGCACGCACCGTCCCGCAAGTGTCACACTCCCGGCCGTCCTTTGCAAGGACCAGTTGTTTTTTCTTGTTTACCTGACGGCTTCCGGGTTGTGAGAAGCGACACAGCTGTCGCCGCAGCGCATGTTGTATTCCAAGCATATTGAACTGAACGCCAATGCGACCTATCTTCATCGTGCACGTTGTTCAGGGTTTAGGGTTAACATGATCGTATTCCATACACTGCACTCTTTGTCACGATCTATGCTACGAATACATCAGCGAACGTGTACTTGTTTGATTGCTTGTAGCACACAGAGGAGCACCCAGACCAGGCTGATGGACACATGGGCACGAGCAACAGTTCACCGCATGCCGGCTGATTGTGGCATTTTGTCATGGTGGTACTTGTGGCTGCTTCTGGCTGCTTCGTTGTGTTTTGCTGCTGTTGTTTCTGCTGCTGATGCTGTCTCTGAACCAATTGTTGTTAACTTTCTCAATTGCTGTGATGCTGTAGTTGCGAACATCGTCGTCGTCGCTGTTTTGTGCGGTCGTTTGGTGGAGTAATTGTCGGGGCCGTCGCCATTTTCAATCTTGTCATTGTCGCCGTGGTCGTGGTCGTTGTCGTCGCCAACGTTGCTGGTTGTGTTGTTGCTTGCCGGTGGTCTCGTTGTTTGTCTTGGCACTGCTACACTGCTAGTGCGATTTGTTCATCCGATTGCCCCCATTGATTCTCCCTCCAGTCATCTTGCCGCGCATTGCCATTGGCTCGTCATGTTGTTTGCGCAGCAGTGCGTTGCTGTGCAGTGTTTGTCGCCAGTTCATTGGGTGCACAGTCACCGTCATGCACGAGAAGTCGCGGCACACGACTCCACAACGAAACTTCGTTCATCACAGATTGCCACAGCCGGGTCTATTCACGAATGATGCAAATTCATATATATATATATATATATATTTATAACACATCCACTTCGGCAGTCATTGATTTGGGGCTCAATTTCTTTGTTCTTCCAATCTTTAGCTTGAGCTATGCAATGTTAAATAACTATTCAGACAAGCGGAGAACGGACCGAGATGTAGACCGTGCAGAGATAGATTGGATGCAAATCTACTTTTTTTTTAAACGCATGCATGAGAAAGATGTGTTGGCCTGAACCCGAGCACAGCAAACTCAACCCTAGACTCTTGCCCACCTGTGCCAGTCTGCTGACGAGCTGCGGCATACCCGCGAGGCTTCTGAGCTTGAGAAGGCCAAACATTTCCCGGATCCTTTGCTGCACATGAAGCACCGGTTCTCGAACCAGACAGCGAGAAAGTAGCCCTAGCTGTTCAAAACATTGAAGTAGGGCTGATGGAACGGGGGCCCACATTTCAATCCAGGGTCACCATCGTATCATGAATGCTGCACCCCAAGTGCTGACAGCTGGCTCGTTCCTATGCAAGTTGCAGTGGGATTTGACAGCTTAGGGGAGGGCCGTGTCGGAGTTTAGGATGCTGATACGAGCATCACCGGTCTGCTGGCAGGCATGGGCGTGGGTATGTCTGGCGGCAAGCACGGTGCCAACCCATCGCATGAAGATGTGCTAGAGCATTCACGGATTTCGAAAGTGCACACATGTAATCATATGTACGAGGTTCATTGCTCCCCACTCGGAGCTGTAAGTGCAACATCCTACTTGCTGCCACAAAATCGAAACGCTAGCCTTCCCACAAAGTCTTCAATCTTCCCGTCACACACCCTAAGTACACGAACTTTGACGCCACGGGTCGCAAAACCCACCCACTAACCGCCCGAAGTTTGGAGGCATCCATTCTGCAGCACGTCGAGGTCGCAAGGTTCAAGTCTCAGCTCAAGATGGGGGCGTTACAGGCTGGATGGTTTGGGGGCTGTGGGTGAGTGCGGAAAAATTGATTGTCTCCTAAATGCTTTATCGAGCTTCGCACTTTTACGAATGTCCTCTCGACACATTCATGTGTGACATGTTCGTAGACAGACAAGTTACAAGTTCATCCCGGGGGCAATTGTATGGGTGAAGATCAAGCGTGAAGCTGTTGATTCAATGGTGCAGCCGTCGCAATGGGCTTCAAACAGCAAAACCCGCTCAATCCGTGCATCACCAACTGTGTAGCAAAAACACGAGTAATGCCGACGTCTGCTTCACGGTTTGTCATGAAGTGTCCTCCTGCCCGCCGACGTAATCTGCAACAACGCTGGAAAGCCCGGCAGAAGGCGAAAGTATCCGCGAGTAAGGCTGCGAAGCACGGGGATCCCGAGGATGCCAGGACTTCCCGGCCCTTCCCTCGCTCTCAGAGCTCTCCGAGCTCTGTGGCCTTGGCCACACTGCGGCGGCTTCCGCAGGCGGAGCAGCGAAGGCGGCTTTTGGAGCTCCTGCAGTCGGACCTCGGCCGTGAGGAAGATGTGGAGGACGAGTCCTGGCGGATGCCTGAACTAAATGTGGAGGCTCGGACGGCCTCGGCAGACGGCATGCGCTTCGAGACTCGGATGTGCTGGATACAACAGCTTGGTGATGAGGAGTTGGAGCGGATGTTGAAGACTTGTCGCTTGGTTTTCGCATTGGATGGTTCGTCGTGGATGCCCTTTCACGAGACTCCACGCTGCTTTGCAGAGCGTCTTGCACTTGCCGTCTTTAGGCACCATACCGCCGGATGCAGGTTCGATCCTGCTCGATCGGGCGCAGAGTGGTGGGCTCAAGTTCGCCAGAGCGGCCATCATGAGGAGGGTATACAGTTCCACTGGGACACAGACGAGGTTGCTGTGGAGCGCCACGATGTAAATGTGCATCCACATTTGAGCACAGTGACCTATTTGTCAGAGTCCGGTGCGCCGACCTTGGTACTGGCCTGTCGCAATTCACGACGTCCCAGTTTGACATCGGCATACGGTCCCATACATGAAGGTGCCCTTAGCTGGCCCAAACTTTGGAAGCACCTGGTTTTCGACGGACAGTTTCTTCACGGCACGGTCCCGTCGTTGGAGTACGGCAAAGATGGTCCGCGAGTGACCTTTCTGGTGAATATCTGGCTGAACCACCGACCTAGCAACTGCCATCGCCTCCCAAAGTCGCTGAGTAAACGCCTAGGCGATGCTCCGATGCCGCCAAACATACTGACGGAAACGATTCGGCCCCCGCTGTACGCCGGCCAGCATTCCGACACCACCAAGTTCGAGACCGCGTTTGGTCGTAGGAGTCTGTCGCACCGTCTCGCATGCTGCTTGCCGCGAACTGTGCCTCCGAGTTGCAGTGAGGGCCGCACTGTGCTGCTGCAATGGCCTTGTCAGGATCCAGCAACGCTGGGAGCCCAGGAAAAGCAAGCCCCGCTACAGCCTCCATGCACGCCTTTCTGGAACTCAGATCGCAGTCGCCACCCACTGTCCTGTCTAGTCGGTTCAAGATTTGGATTCAAGTTCTGCCAAAGTCTCTGAGCAGTCCCTGTGAACACCACAATGAATCCCTACAGTCTTGTTCTGAAACTCACGGCTAGGGCCTTGCCATGAACCACTGAAAGTGAGGCAGCGGCTGGATGACGAGCTGCACAAGCAGGAGGTGTGCTGCATGCCGGTGATGATGATGCTGCTGGTGCGAATCGTAGATGCGTGGGTAATGATCTGTCAGTCAGTGTCAACATGTAACATACATACCAAGAAGAATCGTTGCCTTAAGGGTGTGGACGGTGTACAGAGAGAAGAGTTGGGCAGTCGCGTTTGGGCCCTATGCATCGTATCTCGTCTTCGCTATGGGCTGAGGGCTGCGGTTCCAGGTCCTGATGCGGTAATGCAGGCAGTCGAAACTCCCTTCGAACCCCAGGCCCATTTTGCGGTGCTCGTGCACGGAACCGACATAGAGTCCTTGATGCATCAAGTCATCAAGCTCAACACGCAGGGTAGAAATGCTTCCGACATGCATGCCCTTCATTCACAACGAAAGATTCCGGTACGTTCTAAGTGCTTTTGTAACTACCGGGCCGGCCATTTACGGGACTTGGATGAACACACGCATGTCAGTTCCTCTCTATGCTCTCGCTCTCTCTCTCTCTCTCTCTCTCTCGCTCGCTCTATATACATGTTACATGCATATGTGTATATATTTCTATATATGTACAACATTGTACAACTTTTGTATAATGCCCACGCATTTTTTCTTGTTTGTTCGCTCCCTCTCTCTTTCTCTCTGATCATTCGCTGATGATACCGGTCTTAATTCAACGGCTTGCGGGCCGTTCGACAGCTGCCTGATTCGCAGTGTTACCTGCCCGTGACTGGTGCATCTGCCTCAGGCAAGAAACAGCGAAACGGAAAGATGTGCGCCGGGAGCTTAGCCCATGAACGCACAGCTTGAGTAAAATGCCACAGCAGGACCATCCAGAGCTCTTAACCGGGTCTTTGTTGGATACAATTTGCACTTTTGATATGCTAGACCAAGACAAACTCAAAATGATGATTTTTGATATAGCCCCAACACGAAACCAGTTAAGACAAAGCAGGCGCAGGCCTAGTCCTAGCCACAGTGCAGCCGCACTCCTTGCACAAGTCCGCTAGCTTCATAAATGTCACAGACATCCGAACAGCGAGCATCAATTGTAAAGTCGGGATCCTTTATATTTACCTAGGCGCTGTATTTGGTGTTCATGCTCTTGCTCTGAAAGCATTGTAAATGCATATGCTGAACATAGTCTGCAACAAGAGTTTGTCAGGCATGAAACTGCGGCAATGCGCATCGAGGAGCTCATGACGAAGCAGGCCCAAGTCTCCGGCAACGTGACTACTCCTACTCCTCCTCCTACTAC